TTGGAAGCATTGGGGGCTTTGGGGCTTTTAGGGGCATTAGGGCCAATTGGGGTCTTTGGGGGTTTTGGGGGCATTGGGGCCCATTGGGGGCTTTGGGGGCCTTTGGGACATTGGTGTCCTTTAGGGGGCTCTGGGTCATTGGGGGCTTTGGGGCTCTGGGGCACTGGGGCCATTTGGAAGCACTGGGGCCCATTGGGGACTTTGGGGGCATTAGGGCCCTTTGGGGGCCTTTCAGACATCGGTGTCCCTTGGGGGGCTCTGGGTCATTGGGACCCTTTGGGGTCATTGAGGCCCACTGGGGGCTTTGGGGCTCTTAGGGGCATTAGGGCCCATTGGGGGCTTTGGGGATCTTTGGGGGGCATTGGGACCCATTGGGTCCTTGGGGCCCTTTGGAGGTACTAGGATTGTTTGGGGCATTGGGGCTTTTGGGGACATTGAGGCCCTTTGGGACATTGGGGCTCTTTGTGGACTTGGGGGTGCATTGGTGTCTCTTGGGGCCCATTGGGGGCATTGGGACCTTTTGGAAGCATTGGGGCCCCCATTGGGGGCATTAGGGCCCATTGGAAGCATTGGGACTCTTAGGGGCATTGGGGCCATTTGGGGGCATTGGGGGCCTTTGGGGAATTTGGAGGGCATTGGTGGTCATTGAGGCCCATTGGAGGCATTGGGGCTGTTTGGAAGCATTAGGAGCCTTTGGGGAGGCTTTGAGACATTGGGCCCCATTGGGGGCATTGGGGCCCTTTGGTGGGGCTTTTAGGGTCATTGGGGCCTTTTGGAGGCATTGGGGCCCTTTGGGGCCATTGGAGCCATTTGTAAGCATTAGGGCCCACTGGGGGCATTGAGACTCTTTGGGAGCACTGGGGGGCATTGGTGCCCTTTGGGGACACTGGGGCCATTTGTAAGCATTCGGACCCTTTGGGGGCATTGGGGTCCTTTGGGTTCCCTGGGGCTCATTCCCATTCTGGGTGCCATTTCTCCTTGGTGGCCCCGTGGGCTCTTTGGCTCTGTGGTTTTGTGCCCTATGGGGTGGGTTTCCCCCCTCTCACCCCTCCATCCTGCAGGATGTTCCGGACGCTGTGCAGTTATTTCTGGTGGGAGCGGCTCTGGCTGCCTGCAAACCTCACCTGGGCTGATTTGGAGGACCGTGATGGGCGCGTTTACGCCAAAGCCTCCGACCTCTACATCACCATCCCCATGGCCTTCCTCTTCCTCA